GGACCGGCCGCCACCGCGGCCGCCGAGCAGGTTTTATGGAGAATAAATATCACACTCCAATTTCATGGTAACTTAAGAGGGTTTACTGGCAAATACCATGGCTTTTACATGGTTCTACCAATTACAGCGCAATTACATGTAACCTAGATCTGGAGGACATACGGTTGAGATAAAATATTCCTCTCTATGTTAAAAAGAAAAAGGCAGTTAATAGAAAATACTTTTTTTTTAATTAAAAACTCCTCCTAAAAGAATCCACCATATTCCTGTGTGACATTATTAAAACTCAACATCAATATCAAACCCAAAGCAAAACTGCCATTTCATTAACACATCAGTTGTGGGACGATCAATAAAAATTTACTTTAAACCGCGCCATATGTCGCTTCCAACAAAGTTTTATTATTCAGATTCGCCAGTTTGTACCTCAACCCCCGTGCAATTAAATCCCATTTAGCGGCAGTGACCTTTGGATTTGAACTTGTCATTCCTGCAGCTGGTTTGGAGTTTAACGGCACTTTTAAACAAGGAAGGCGAGCGCGCGGCCGGGAGCTCCGGCGGGAAGCTCCGGCAAGGCGCAGAGCAGGGAAAAGCAGGAAAAAAAGGAAACAAAACAGAGGAGCGCAGGCACATCTTAACATGTTGTAGCATATTTGTAAACATCGTTAATCACGGATTAGCAGATGGTAATGTTAATTGCACCTGTGGAAGTTACAAGACCTCAAGGTTGATTACATTTACGGAGGCGGCTCGTCCCGGCGGCCGCGCGCTGGGCTCAACGCGGGGACGTTACCAAAACTCTGCAAAAACAGCAACTTTCCGAGAGGCGGCTCCGCTCCGGGGTTCGGCTCAACACCGCTCCCTGCCCCAAACCCGTGCGGCCGGCTCTCCAGAAACCTCCCCAGGAGCAACTATGGATTTTTATGGAGTGGGAAGTGTGGGGCTGTGCTGGTAATCTGAGCCCGGGCCTGACCCAGGACAGGAGCTGAGCTTCGATTTCAACCCGTTCACATGGAAGTTGCCTCTGGGGGACGAGGAGCTGGGCGATCGTCCTCACCCGAGGATAAGGAGAGGGGCACATGGTGCCTCTTCCCACTAACAAGGACAAATATTTTGTCACTGCGCTCAGAGACACTTTGATTATTGAGAATTCATTTTGGAAGGGCAATCGCTAAACTTTAAAATCAATTCGGTAAATACGCCTCTGAAGGGAATCCATGGCAAGCAGCAGGGAGGGCAGAATTGAATTCCAAATTACACACACACACTTTATTCATATCTAAATATCAAAGCAACCGTATGTACAAACAGAAGTAATCAGGAAGCATGTTTTGATCTTGCTGATGTACACAAAAAAAAAGACAATTAATGTCCGCCTTTATGATATAAAGCAGGGAGTTTTTTACAGTTACATTACAGGGACGATTATAGTCAAGCTTAAGGCTAAAAATAATGAAAGACTATAAAAAACTACACTCCAACATTTAAAAATACCCAGGAAATTAACTGGAGGAGCAGGCAATGATCCAATTAATGGATGGCATTTATTAGGTGGGGGCAAGCGGCGCGGCAGCGAGCGCGGCTCCGAAGGTGCCAGCGCGCAGAGGTCCCGCGGGAGCAGGACGGGGCTGGGGACAAGGGGGCAGGTGGCCGTGGGGACAGGCTGTGCCGGGAGCCACCAGCGGTGGCCGCAGAGGGATGCGGAGCAGGGCAGAGGACGTGGAGGGGCAGGATGTGCCCCAAGGGCGCACGCAGGACCGCAGGACCCGGCCCACGGAGCAGCTAATGCCAGACTCAGGGAAAGGCAGGGATGCTGCTCCGGCCCTCCCTCTCCCCCTGCACGGGTGCTTCCCGCCGAGATGGCCAGATCCTCACCTTTCCCTGCCCTCGCTGAGAGGGGTTTGGATAGTCCAAGTGGTCCCTCACCTCCCTCCTCGCTGCCAGGAGGCCTTGCAGATCGCGCTTCCTCCCACCAGAGCCTCCTCTTGCTTGCGCAGACTGAAACGGGGAAACAAAACAAACACAAGAAGAGCAAAAGGGGGGTGTTGCAAGGGGAAGCTGCAGTTTTTATGAAGTCAGAAAAAAATATATACATACCTGTAAGCCAAGGATAAAGGAATGGTCTTATTCTCATCCCTCCCGTTCCAAAGGAAGGACTCAGCCTCAAATCCTCTGAATGCTTCCTCCTGAAAATGAGCAAATCTAAACCTCGGGCACCCTCTGCTGGGGCCGGCACCGCTTCCCGAGCAGCTGCGGGAGGGATGTGCGCCCAGGCGGGATGCTCATCCCAGGCCTCCTTCCCCGGCCTCTTCCATTTCCGTGGTCACAGACCCCTCCGGGGTGCCAGGGCCCCGCTGGACACACAAAGCCAGGAGGGAGGGCAGCTTTGGGGGTTTTTCTGCTTGTTTTTCCCCAAGGCAGGGGCTGAGGGGCGGCTGTGCAGGGTCCTGCACCCCTTTCCTCCACGGGTCACTGTCACCAGCGCCCAGCACCCTAGAAGAGCAAAATGAGATAGGAGCTGCCCATGCCGGAGCCATGCGGAAGCCAGGAGAGCGCTCCTCATGCTGCAGCTCCCGGAAGAGCCCAGCATCCTCCATGGCTCCAGCATCACGGGGAGATTCCCGGGACGCCTCCCCAGCCACCCGTGCCAAGGAAGGGAAGTCCGGCCGCCAGCTGGTGCAGGGCCAGGTGTCACCCTGTCCAACACCGGGACGCAGGGAGGACACAGGGACACGCTGCAGCCCCCAAGTGACACATCCAAAAAACCTCCGCATCTGCAGACCGGTCTACAGACTTCATTTAGCTCAAAGGGAAGTCCTAATTAGTCACTCTGAGTGATTTACTTGTTCATTTGGAAGGGGAGGAAGGGGGAGGCTAAGCAGAATTGTTTGAAATTATCCCTAAAGGGCACTGTAAATTAAGTGTTAATGAGGAATCCTATGCAAAGGGCCACAGTAGCTAAATAAAATAATTAAGGTGCTAAGTGATAACATTCATTTGGTTCTCAATAATTTAGCCAGCCTGGTTTTCATCCAGGATGTTTGCAAGCGAAGCAGCCCTCGAACCCCCAAAAGCCATTAAGGGGGACGATGGTGCTGGGGCAGCTCAGCCTCCTGCAGAACCAGGCCCAGCTGGAAAGGAAACTTCTGGGAGGAGCAGAACGAGCTCCTCGCTTCCCTTCTCACCTGCAACGTCTTGTTTCACTAACCACGCGCTGGACTTGTGTATGACACAAGGAGGACTGAGTACGAACAAAGCTTGGCAGAGCTTTATTTCAACGGAGTCTCTTCCTCCCGGTGCCTGCTCTGCTGTGCTGGGCTGTGTCCGTCCGTGGGCAGGGCTGCACACCCGTTTTACAAGCAAACACAACACGGGGTGTTTCCAGACACTGACACGTAACAGCCGGACCGCCTGGCTGGAAGGAAATGCCGCTGAGACGTCCAGGAGCGGCTCCGCGAGGAAGCGGAGCCCCCGGCTCGGGGCGGCAGCAGGAGGGCACGGGGCACGGCTGCTTTCGGAGGCAGCGCCAAACACCCACTTCCAACCCCAAATCCCCTCTGCAGGGAGCCACACACACAGCCCTCGTGTGACAAATCCTGGGCGTGCAGCCGGCGCTGGGTATTTTGCTGCGGAGTCGGAAGGGTTTGGCTGCTGCTCTCCAAGCCTCGCTCTGCCACGCGTCCTCACAAGCCGCTCCGAGAGCCGTTCCCTACCGGCACAGTCCGAGTTCAGGTGGAGCAGCTCTCCAGCACGGTGCCCAGCTCGAGGGTCTCCCCGACAGCTTGCAGCATCGGAGGAGGCCCTGGGAGCTGAACTTCCCTGTCCTGAAGAGCTGCCTTGGTCAGGAGCTCCAGGCCGGACGGCTCGCACCGCCTGGCACAGCAAAATCGGTCACTGCACTTCGGTCTCTGGCTGCAGATGGAGTGCAGGAGAATACCTGTAGGAAAGGTGGGGATTTTTTTACTGCAAGAAAATCACTCTGAGTACCTGGGTGTTTGATTTCTAAATACAGGTATTTGGACTGTGGAATATTTTCCGTTTTTACCGGTAGCAACAGAGACGTTCAGTGATTCAATCCCTGGGCAAAGGGCTCTTCCAGGTGGCACGATGAGCATCCGGTGGCACAAGCGCTGCGTCTCTAGGGACATTCCATCACCTTCATTACCTGCACGACAAGGACTCTGCTCAGGTCAGCTCGCAGCAGCTGTCACATCCCTTTCTCACCTTCCCCAACATGGTTCCTGCTAATGCCCAGTCACAGCTATGTCCTGCTCCTGCACAAGCTCACAAATAATCTCACCAGGTCCAGGGAATGAGAGTCAAGTCCAGCCAAAGAGCCCAGCACCTCACCTGCTTTCTCTTCCCAGCCCAACCCAACCTCCCTGGATCTGTTCTCCAGGTATCCAAAGTGCTTTTGAGGAATCCCCCGTTGTGTAGAGCGCAAAGCTCAAGCGTTAGGACACGCTGTGCAGGGAGCCCCAGTCCCAGGACATGGCTGCTCCACAGGGGGACGCAGACAAGAGGCTGGAAGCCCGCACTGGTCCAGCAAATCCCACATCCCTCTCGACAGTGGTGGATTCAGCCTTTTCCGCACACCGTACCACCAGCTGGGTGCGACTTGTGAATGCAGACAGTTTAACCAGAGGCTTCAATTGATTAGTTGTTAAACCATCCAACAGCCCTGATATGTTTGGGCTGATACACTGGTGAAACAGAGTTGAAATCTATCCCAGGTCATTAGTAGTTGTTTGACTCACACTGTCACAAAGGGAAATGGAAAAGGAGAGGCTTTAAACAACCCTATGCGCAGACATGTGAAATGCAGACGCCCACAAGACCTCCCAACACGCTCGGCTCCCCGAAGATTTCTTCCACATTCATTATTTAGAGCTACAGAGACAGCTCCAGAGCTGCAGGAACGCCTGGCTCGTCTGAAGGATGTGTCC